GTAGCATGTAATTGATGTCTTATTCTTCTTTTTATATATTCTCCTATTTTGCTGCTTCATCTTGACTATTTTATTTTATCTTTATTTTTGTGTACGTTGCATAATGTTTGTTGCTTATTTGAGATCTATTGTCCGCTATGCAACATAATATATGTTGATACTATAAATTATTATTGTATTGACGATGTACAAATACTCTTCTTTCAATCCCTAATATTTTCAATTTATTTTTTGATGACGTTGTTGTACATTTATTTCACGATTATTAGTTTGTGCTTTGTTAAATATTTTATTTCTTTATGGAATAAGTGAAATAAGGTAACATAATTGTTTGAATTTTATAACTAAATATTTTAAATTATTCAATAATTTTTTTATTATAATTTTTATTGTCATGTATTTAAATAATTATTTTCTTCCGTTTTGCAATGCCACCCGTGCATCGCACGGGTATGATTACTAGTTACAATATAGAAGCAACAAAAAGTCTAATATGTTAAAAAGTAGAAATTTCTACAAAAATAATTTATGAATTTAAAAATTTGTATATGAACCTGATTTTAACGAATTTTAATTAGTAGTGATCGACTTCGAGTAGTTGATCATTTATACGGTGTAAAGAAAATGAGAAAGAAAAATAGCTTGCACTGGGAAAGTGGGTAAATACCACAAAACGACGTCGTTTCACATGCAGAAGGGAAAAAAAAAAGAGAGAATGCAATATAACTTGAATTCGAGTAAATATATACTTATCGTCAAATAAAAATACTATTTTCAATCTTAGATCGTTACATCTTGAGTTAAAAACGAATTTGTAACGATCGATCTCAAGTTTAGTAGCTTAGTTAATTTGGACTTTGCCCACAATTGATTGCAAAATGGTTATCACCAAAAGTATTGATTTTGTATATTAACTTTAAAAAAATTAATAATAATAATAAAAAAAAAAAAAAAAAAAAAAAAAAAAAAAAGACAAACAAAAAACTTACAAGATAGGGGAGGCCCATGAAAATCATGTAATTTTGAGAACATGTTACAAGTGGATTAAAATCATATAAAGCAAGAACAGGTTCACAAAGAAAAATTCCAAATCACTAGTCAAATAGGTGACCACATTTCCACATCATCAAACCAAGATAATGTTTCTTTGTTTTTTTCTAATTTTATTAATTATTTTGTATTGTAATTTGATTAGGATTCAATTTCATTGATAAATAAATTTTCAGATAAATATTTTTTATTCGAACAATGTTATTTTTTTTTCAATATATATTATAATAATAAAAAAATCAAGTTATATGTTGAAAATATTGAGAAGAAATTCAACAAAATAAACAAATTAACATTAATATTAACAGTTTATTGAAAATTATTAAACATCAAATGAATAATAAAAAAATAATTGAACATAAGTCACTTAACTTTAAATAATGTAATCAACAATAACAAGAAATAAACTACTAAAACATATGGAGACTTTGCCAAAGTATTCAAACTAAATCTCAAAATTAGAAAAAAATTAGAGACTCACTAGAACTCCTATTGGTTTTGCCATTTTTGCTAAAAATTTCTATGGATTAATTCAATATAATTAGTTATATTATAGTATAATCAAGCATAAGTTTGCAAAATATTTGGTGGTATTATGTTGGATATATTTTATTTTGATTCAATATCATGACAAATGTAAGTGTAGGGCTTCAGGGAATCGAACTCGTGACTCTGACTCTGACTCTCATACTACTTGTAGGAAGGACTTCGTGTGCTATCGATTGTCCTAAAATCAATTGGGGTCAGAAAAGGCGGAGACCCTAGCCTTATAGTGCAATCATCACAAACAAGCGCTCACGTCATTCGATTGTGTACCGTCCACTACTGATTTTTTTTTTCTTCACATGGACAATTGCTGTCAAACACAGGCCAACAGTAAAAATTCGAAGGAAAGAAAACGTGTTCATGCAAATTGCAATTATAAAGTAAAAAGGAGGGGGGGACACAAAATAAAATTGCATAGCTGTAAGTAAGTTGGTTTATATTCCATCTGCCTTTGTAATTCATTCCATTTCAATCTGATCTGTGCAAACTGCGCTTTATTGACCAATAGTGTCTGTTTTGCTTTGCTATGCTATTCGTCGATATAGCTGCAAATCGGATGGATATGATCGAAATTAGTATTTTTGGAAATATTCCAATTTTTTCGAAAGTGAAATACTAATTTTAATTCATAACAAAAAAAGCTTCAAAAAAATATTGGAAATTACAATTTCGCAAATTGGAATAAGAAAATTTGTTCCAAAATTGAAACTTTTTTTTTATATCAAAATCGTGCTGGAATTCGAAAATTCTTTTTTTTTTTTTAATTCATATAGAATATAAAATACATACTAGTATAGTAATATTGATATTATAAGGGTGATTTTTGAAAAAAAGAAATGAATTATTTGAAATTAAAATCAGATCTGAAATTGATATCTCGTATGTATTCCAATTTTATGAAAAAATATCATGAAAAATACTTGTACAAAATTACAAAATTTCAGATCAAATAGACGGAAATTAGAAATAATGCTCAAATTTCCAACCCCTATTCGCGGATGAATCGAACACATTGGCTTCGACGCGGAATTACGTTTATGGACATCGCAAACAAGAAATTACAGCTTTGTTAAGGTAAATAAATACAAGGTAATTAAATTATTTTTAATTATAAAATACTTTATTCCATAATTGTTAAAATCTTATAATATTTATTTTTATTTTTATTTTGTTTTTCATTTTTGTTCAGAAATAAAAATAAATTAAACAAATCTCTCTTCAATTAATATTCCTACTATTCTTGATTAATTAAGCAGACAAATTCTGACAATTAGAGTTGGTCTCTTAAGATAATTACTAGACAATGTTTTGTTCTAAATACTCAACTTCGTGGCGGCAGGAAATTTCTAATTATTTATAATTTGTTTTTGTACTAATCCCATACAAGTGGGTTGGTTTGGCATCAAATTATTATTAGTTTATAGAGTTTAAAATTAATTTAAATGAATTAATGGAGGTTGGTAATCTGGATTAGCTGTTAATCTGATCATAATTCATAATACTCCAAAGTAGTTAGCTATAGTTGCATTTGACGTTTGATTAAAAGTGTATTTGGTTGACTAATTTGGATAAGGGCTTGACCCTTTTGTAGTCAAAGTGATGTGGCTAATATGATTAATTAGTATTAGTGTATTATTAATCCACTTTCACATTATTCTTCTACTTGATTATATTTAGTTAATGACAATTATACTTGAGTACTTTTTCTCATTTGATAGAGATATGAATTTGATATATAACTGAGGGTACATTTAACTAAGGTTCGTAAATCGCCAAGAACTACGTAAATTAAGGTCAAATTACTGAAAATCTCTTTACGTATTCGCAATTACTAAAAAAATATGTGTGGGGAACTGTTGACCAAATTTCTTAATAGAAAATATGTAACGTCTATAATGTTTTAAAGCTAAAAATGGTAAATTACGAAAAAGTCCTTGATTATCAATAATTAATAAGAATCCTCTGGTTTTTGTTACGTCTTACAACGCCCCCTTACAGAAATAATTTATAACAAAATTGAAGATTTTCTTTGAAAGTTTGAATATTTCGGCACCCTCTTGTAAATTTCGATAACGGCAGTTAATAGTCTGCATGGCGCGACAGTACATTTTTGGCAAACTTCAACGTCATATAGTTTCACTGTGGCGAATTTTTCATTAATATTTCTGTGAATTCTCGACATTTCGAAGATTTTTCTGCATAACTTTTAAGTGATATGTAAGACATCAATACTAATAAGTATTTGATCTTATATGTAAATTAAAAAATATATATATAATTTCCGAATTTCGATGAATAAAAAAAAAACATTTTGATATGGAAAACACATGCTTTCGTTCCAACTTTTATAATTTTTGATTTTCTCGATTGTTTTCCAGAGTACAATTTGAACAAGATATTCACTTTCGAAAGAAAAAAATAGGGGAAACCATATAAAGAAAAGAAATAATTGACAGGGGGAGAGAACTAATCAGAATACGAAATTGTATGTAATATTTATACTACATCAGTAGTACAGTCAAAACACTCAAAAAATTATAATTAACACCCTATTAAATGCTAAATGTTACAATAAAATCCCTTATACACTATAACATCTAGTACAAAATTGTTATATTTCATTAGAATAAATATTACAAATTACACCCTCATGAAATGATAATATTACAATTACCCCCTCATGGTCAAATTTGTAACTGTTTAAGGAATATTACATGGGATCAACAAGATTCCGTCACATTTCACTATTTAAGGGTATCGTGTAAGACGACAACATACCTTAAGTTTTTTTTTTTTTTTTTGCCATTATTAATACGTGAAGAGTTTTTTTGTAATTTAACCTTAGTTCAGGAGGTTTCTTGTAATTTAGCCATAATATTTTGTGACAAGTACATATTTAATTCCTTCTCATTAATATCGTCGATTTATTTTTGTTATCACCATGTTTCATGAATCCATATATCCAACTAAAATAAACCAGCTACGAAATTAAATGAGGTGGAAAAAAGGAAAAAAAAAAAATGTTATTGAAAGAATTTATGGTCCCGAATTCGTTTAATACAGAGGTGTTATCTTAAGTGTTATGACACTTGAACAAACATGTAGCGGAAATATAAAGATAAAAGAACAATACTCAGAATTAAAAAATGTTCACAAGTAAAGACTTGTGAACTTGCCCTTTACAGGACGAAAAATATATTAAAATCAGTATTCCAAGAATACAAACAGAAGAGGTGCGAAAACTTCTTCCTTATGAATGAATCTTTTTCAAGATCATTCTTACAATCAAATCTAGATACAAAAAGAAAAATATTAAAAATTCTAGATTTCAAAGATGTACTCGTGAGGAGTACGTAAAGAACTTATGAATGAATCACTATCTTGATCATTCTTACAACCAAGTCTAGAAACATATATACTAAACAATCTAGACTACAAAGAATGTACTTATGAGAAGTACGTAAAGAATGTACTCACGAAGAGTACAAACAACCGATTCTAAAACCTAACTAAAACACTCGTGTATTCTCTTCAGCCCTTGGTTTTTATTTCGTAGAATCGATCAATTCCTTGAGTATTGAAGTCGTATTTATAGGCATTCCAAGCATCCACTCCTCAGCCCATGATCTGCAAGAAAACCAACTACAAGAGCACTCAAGAACATGGGTTAGTGGGTTAGTTGGGTAGTTAAAATAATATTCACAATTTAACCCACTAAGCCCACTAAGCCATATACTTAACCCATTAACTAAAATTTAGTTTTAATAATAAGAAAGTTAAAAAACAAAATGTACGTGTTTCAAACTCCCCCTTTTTAACTTTCTGATCAAAACTAAATTTTAGCTTAACTCCCCCTGAGTCATTGCTTGAACTCCCCCTGAATTTGACAACCAACATTAACATAAAAGTTCAGAGGAAAATAACAAACTGAACAAAAACAAATATTGTTCAGAAAAATAACTTTAGAGCAGAATATCCAAAGTCTCCTCAGTGTCAGCTGCTGCTCCTCCATCACTAGCACTGGATCCACTGCTTTCCTCTGCTCCTTGAGCTTCATCCTTTTTCTTTGCTCATTCTTCATTAACACCTTGCTCTCTGCCTCTGGCATCCAAAGGACGAGATGTTCCACCTTGCTCTCTGCCTCTGGCATCCAAAGGATGAGATGTTCCTGCTTCAACTTCATGACTAGCTTTTTCTCCCCCTTTTTGATCAGAAAGAGCTTTTTGGAGCATTTCCACCATGGAGTGGTGATAAGTATTCTGATCTAGAGATTGAGTAAGCTGTTGTAACAAAAGATCTCTAGGAACAGAAACAAGAATGTCAGGAGTGTTGTCAGCATGAGGAGCAACACCTTCAGTACCAAGATTATTTTGACCTGATTCACTTGAGAGGAAATTATCTCCATTCCACGGAAGATCTTGGACATGAGGAGCTTTTAGAAAATTTTGAGAAAGAATTATCATGCCAAGTGGAGTGTGAAGATGTTCTAATTCATCTTGACCCAAATTTTGAGAAAGCAGAATGAAGTAGATGAGAGAGGAATTTAAAACGATTGCCAAAAAGAGTTTTACAAACTTCAGTAAAATCACCATAATTATCCTCATCAATCACAGTAGGAGTTTGTAAATGAGAGTTGATAATTTTGGGAAGAAAGAAAAAAATAGAATTTCGCACAAAATTTTTCCAAAGTTTGGAGAATTTTTCTTTAAAAAATTTGTAAATTGGCATAAACATTCCTTCACAACAGAAGGATCACAAGGACAAACAACCTCAACTAGACTAAGGATTTTTCTTTGGTCAAGAAATGCAGTGATCCTATGTCTATCAAACTCATCCTTGGAAATTTTCTTTTCCTCAATGAATTGGCAATTCATGATTTGAGGACTCAAATTTGAATCAGATTCAAAATAAAAGATAGGACTGAAGGCATTGTTTACCTCAAACGGAGTTGACAAATCCTTCCCATCCAAGTCTAGCTCTTCTTCCTCAGAGGATTCCTCTTCTTCTGAGTCTTCAAGTTCATCTGGGATGGATGCTGGCTCAGGTGATGCAACAGGTGGGACAACATCTTCTTCCATCAACTGTCATCACTTTTCTCTTTCTCTTCAACCTGGGAAGGTGGTGCATCCACTTGAACAGCTGCCTCTGCCAGAGTTTCCAGAGGATCTTCATTTGGTGCTGAGAGTGTTTCTTCAGTGGTAGTGAAATCCTGAGCATCAATAGTGGGAATGTCAACATGCTCTACAGATGACATCCCAGAAAAATCAGGCATTTCTTCATCCTGATAAGGAGCAGCATCCTCAGCAGCATTCTGAGAAACATTTGCTGAGACAGTGAGTGCAGCAGCATCTTCTGGAGCATGTGCAGCAACACCTTCAGAAACAGGATGTTGAGAGGCTGCTGCTGCCATGCTAGGCTGAGATGTCTCCCCCTGAATTGATGCTGGGGAAGGTGAGTCCTTTGATGATGACTCAGAGGAGCTGGAGATAGAGCTTGAGCCTCCGGTGCTGCAAAGGTAGGATCTCCTTTTTCATCATCAGTCTCTTCATCAACCAAATGAAGGCCTCTTGGTGGGTTTGGCCTAACTGGAGTGCGACCGACTCTGCCGCTTCTTCTTCCACCTCTGCCACCTCTGCTGGGAGAATGTCCTCCCCTCCGGCGTTGTGATCCAGTAGCATTCAGATCTGGGAAGGGATTCATGCGCTTGGACCGGCGAGTTGAAAACCTTCCTGCATTGGAAGAGGGACCCACGTACTCGAAGTTGTCTGGGTCAATAGGATTCAGCTCGTCTTCGGGCTCAATAAAGCTGATCGGCATAGCTTCAAGGTTGACAGGATGAACGATGATGGCTAGATTCTGGTCTGCTGGTTCAGGTGCTGCAGCATCGTTGTGGACATCATCTTCGGCTGGAAGAGGATTTCTAGGAGGAGATGCCATGATACAGTAGATAAAAAATGCTTCTTGTGCTTTTGATTTTTGAGTGTGAATTTTCGAAAGAGAAGCACGAAATTTATAAGCCCTAATTTGCAGAAAAAATCGAAGTGGAGAAGGTGAAGAAGTGGTGTGCGTTTTTCTTGGAGAAAGTGTGATTAAGGAGAATAAAGGTTTATGTGGCAGTTTAAAACAAAACGTGACACATGGCACAATAAGGAGTGGACTTAGTGGAAAATGAAAGACTAACCCATGTACCCCATGACCCATATAAATAGTGATAATTCAATATAAATAATAGTAATAGAGATAATAACAGTATCACTCACGAAATATTCACAAAAATAAAAAACACATCTATTAATGATTAATAGTGTGAGAAAAAATTGGCTAACAGGCATAGATTTTATTATATATATATATATATCTAATATTTTTTTTTTTTTTTTTTTTTTTTTTTTTTTTAACTCTTATTTTCAAGTCAAACAATTCACATGGAACATGATCAAGTGTTCAGTTTGAAGGTTCCTCAGTTACTAAGATATGACTATCAAAATAGAGGAGTTTGACTTATGTGAGCGTAATTATTCCCTAAATGTTTACATGAAGCATGATCACGTTTCAAGGTGAAAGACTTCCAGTTACTTATTTAGAAAAATAATTCATCACAGTGAAGTCATTATTTAAAGAAGCTAAGCTTCAGTAAATTATGTTGCAGCTTAAGATATTTGATGAGGTGCTGCAACATTTTTCAGGACATGTTTATTGAGTACACATCCCGAGAGATTTTCTGAGTTTAGAAAACCTCTCATAATCTAATGCCTTTGTAAAGATGTCAGCCAGCTGATCTTCTGTAGGAATGTACTTTAAGCACACTATATTTTTCTCAACTATATCACGAATAAAATGATGTTTAATATCTATGTGTTTAGTTCGTGAGTGTTGAACAGGATTTTTTGAAATGTCAATAGCACTTGAATTATCACAATATATGGTCAGGGTATCACTGGTCAACCCATAATCTCCCAACATTTGTTTCATCCAAATTAGTTGACCACAACATCCTCCAGCAGCTACATATTCTGATTCAGCTGTTGAAAGAGATACACAGTTTTGCTTTCTACTAAACCAAGAAACTAGATTATTCCCCAAAAAGAAACATGCACTTGAGGTGCTTTTTCTGTCACTGATATCCCCAGCCCAATCAGAATCACTAAAACCTATCAAGTTTGTATTAGTGTCTTTGAAAAACTGAATCCCTAAATCTAATGTACCTGCAACATACCTAATAATCCTCTTCACAGCTTTAAGATGAGTGACTTTGGGATTAGCTTGATACCTGGCACACACACAAACACTAAACATAATGTCAGGCCTGCTTGCTGTTAGATACAGAAGACTTCCAATCATGCTTCTGTAAAGGGTGCTGTCAACATCTTCTGCAACATCATCCTTGGACAGTTTTTGGCTGGAACCCATTGGAGTTTTCATGTGCTTGGCTGACTCCAACTCAAATCTTTTGACCAGATTGAGATCATACTTCTTTTGATTTACAAAAATTCCTTCACCTGTCTGTTTGATTTGGAGTCCTAGGAAGTAATTCAACTCTCCTACCATGCTCATTTCAAAAGTGTGAGACATAGAATCTACAAAAGACTGAAAAGGGTTAGCACAAGTAGAGCCAAAAACAATATCATCAACATATATATGAACACTAATGATATGATTATTAGTTCTTCTAACAAATAGGGTTCTGTCTGCCTCTCCTCTGTTGAACTGTATTTCAAGTAAGAAGTCAGTGAGTCTTTGATACCAAGCTCTAGGAGCTTGTTTAAGACCATACAGTGCCTTCTTAAGCTTGAAAACATGATTAGGCTTGGCAGAATCTTCAAAACCCTTGGGCTGTTCTACATATGCTTCCTCATTTAAAACCCCATTCATAAATGCAATTTTGATATCCATCTGATACAATTTGATTTTAAGAAAACAGGCTATAGCAAGAAGTAACCTAATAGATTCAATTCTAGCTACTGGAGCAAAGGTTTCATCAAAATCTATACCTTCAATCTGAGTATAACCTTGTACTACTAACCTAGCCTTATTTCTAACAACTGTACCTTTTTTATCAGTTTTATTTTTGAAGATCCACTTAGTTCCTATCACATTTACATGACTTGGTCTGGGAACTAAGTACCAAACATCATTCCTGATGAACTGATTCAGCTCTTCATGCATTGCATTAATCCAAAACTCATCCTTCAGTGCTTCTGCAATATTCCTTGGTTCGACTGAAGATACAAAGCAAGTAGTTCCAGTTAGTGTACATTTAGAAGATAAATTTGCAAATCTTACCATATCTCTGTAATTCACTCTCTCTTTTCTTCTGGTCCTTATCCCATCAAAGATATCTCCTACAACTTGAGTCGATGGGTGATTTTTCTGGATTCTACTTGATGGTTCCTTTCTGCAGACATCATGAGTTGGCTGCAGTTCAGCTTCTATGCTCTCTGTAGGAAGTATTGAGTCAGATGTGGTAACACTTGTCTCAACACCCTCTTCTCTTGACACTGGACTGTTTATATCTGGAGCATCTGTGGCAGTAGTGTCTCCTCCTGTTGTTTCTCCTTCAGCAATCAGATCATCAACTTCATCTTCGGCTGTTTTACTGCGGAGATCAACAAAGTCATCAAATACCACATTTACAGATTCAATAATGGTTCGAGTTCTTAAGTTGTATACTCTATAAGCATGACTGTTATTAGAGTATCCCATAAACAAACTCAAATCACTTTTGGAATCAAATTTAGCTAGATGATCTCTATCATTGAGGACATAGCAAACACATCCAAACACATGCATGTATTCTAGATCAGATTTTTCTCTTAAAAAATACACCAAAGTATATCTCGAAAAATCATCAACACACACAAATACATATTTTTTACCACCTAGGCTTTCTACCTCTATAGGACCCATAAGATCCATATGTACAAGTTCAAAACAAATGGTGGTACCAACGGGTTGTAACACTTTGTGTGGTACCCTAGTTTGCTTTCCCTTCTGGCACATTCCACACATAGGAATGTCCTTGATCTTGAGATCAGGAATTCCTCTTATGACATTGTACTTGGTGAGCAGCTTTAGATTTTTGAAGTTTGTGTGCCCAAGTTTCTGGTGCCACAACTCTACTTCACTTACTCTTGAGCTCTTGCATGAGATGGTGTCACCTGTTTGATAACAATTCTCCATTGATCTGGAACCTGTCAGTACACATTGATTTTGATTATCAAACAAAGAACAACAGTATTTATCAAATTTAACACGCAGATCATCATCACACAATTTACTAATACTGATGAGATTTGACCCCAATCCTTCAACATGTAAGACATTTGAAAGTTTTGGAAGTCCCTCAAGACTGAGTGTTCCACGTCCAACCACTTTGCCTTTAGCTCCTCCTCCATAGGTTACACGTCCTCCATTGAGTGTATAGTAGTTTGATAGAGACTCTTTAGTTCCAGTCATGTGCCTAGAGCATCCACTATCAAAGTACCATGAACCTGAAATGTTAGCATTTAAAGAAGTGTATACTGCTTTGTACATAAGTTTACCTTTGGGAGTCCATATTCTACACTCCTTTTTGGTAAATTCTACCTTTTTCTTGGAGGTGTTCCCTAGAGTGCTGTGACTCATCCTGTACAACATTTTGTCACTACTTAGT